AAATGGGCAAAGGACCTAAATAGACACCTTTCAAAAGAGGACATTCAGAAAGCCAAGAGACATATGAAAACATGCTCAAAGTCACTAATCATCCGAGAGATGCAAATCAAAACAACAATGAGGTACCATCTCACACCTGTCAGACTGGCTATCATCAACAAATCAACAAACGACAAGTGCTGGAGAGGATGTGGAGAAAAAGGAACACTTGTGCACTGCTGGTGGGAATGCAGACTGGTGCAGCCACTATGGAAGACAGTATGGAGTTTCCTCAAAAAACTACAAATGGAACTCCCATTTGACCCTGTGATCCCACTTCTAGGAATATATCCCAAGAAACCAGAAACACCAATCAGAAAGGATATATGCACCCCTATGTTCATAGCAGCACAATTCACCATAGCTAAGATCTGGAAACAGCCTAAGTGCCCATCAGTAGATGAATGGATTAGAAAACTGTGGTACATCTACACGATGGAATACTATGCTGCTCTAAAAAGGAAGGAACTCTTACCATTTGCAACGTCATGGATGGAACTGGAGAGCATTATGCTAAGTGAAATAAGCCAGTCAATGAAGGAAAAATACCACATGATCTCACTCATTCATGGATAATAGAGACCATTATAAACTTTTGAACAATAATAGATACAGAGGCAGAGCTGCCTCAAACAGATTGTCAAACTGCAGCAGGAAGGCCGGGGAGCGTTGCGGGGCAGGAGGTAGGGGGGTAAGAGATCAACTAAAGGACTTGTATGCATGCATAGAAGCATAACCAGTGGACATAAGACATTGGGGGATAGGGGAGGCTAGGGGACTGTCTAGGGCGGGGGGATAAAATGGACACATATGTAATACCCTTTGTAATACTTTAAGCAATAAAAAAAAATAAAAAAAATAAAAAATAAAAACAAAAAACAAAAAACAAAAAAAAAAAAAAAAGAAATACAATTTGGTAGTTACCGAATAGTCCCCAGGAAGTGAAGTATAGCACAGGGAATATAGCCAATAAAAAAAAAAAAAAAAAAAAAAGAAATGCCACTCATACCTACCTGACCTCTGAAAGTGAGCACGTCTCAAACAAACTCCTGATCTCCCCAGCCCCAAACCCGCTGCCCCTTTTGGGGGCTCCTCTGGGTGAATGGCACTCCTCCTTCCAGCTGTTGACAGAATTCTAAGATGACCCGTTGACCCCTGCCCCCACTGACTTGTGAACGGGGTCAAATGTCCCTTCTGTGAGCAGGTGATTAGGTTCAGTTTGGTTCCACGGCACAGGTGACGTGGAGAAAGGGGCCTGACCTTTGGTGATCAGGATGCTATCAGGTGAGTCTGGCACCGGGCGAGGCTCCTCCTGGCTAGAGGTCTAAGTCACCAGACGGAGGTGACGTCATGGAGAACCTCTGCTGCTGGTCTTGTGGATGGAGGGGCTGAGGCGAGAAACGGAGCATCTGGAAGAGGACAGTGGCCCTGGACATCTGGCCACAGGATGTGGGTGGGGACCTTAGTTCTACAACTGCAGGGACTGAATCCAGTCAACAGAGGGAATGAGGGATTGAGCTCAGATGTGGGTTCTTCCTCAGACTTTCCAGAAAAGAGTGCCATCCAGTCATGACCTTGGTTTTATCCTTGTGAGATACCGAGCACCGAGCCCAGCCCCATCCTGTGGCTTCTGACCACAGAGCAACCTGTTCTAATAAGTGGGCGTTGCTTGAAGTGCTTGGTAGTTTTTTACATGGAGATGGAACACTCTCACCCGTCTGTCTATCTAGCATCTGCCTGTCTGTCTGTCTATCCATCCAACCTGAACCTCCCTACTTGCTAACCCAAAGGCAAATGACAAAGACAGAAAACCTCTCTCCAGGGCTCTACAGAGTTGGCGCACTGTAAACTGGTTGTCTATTCATCCGATTTGAAGGTTATCCAGCCAACATGTTTCTCTTCCTTCTCGAAGCCTTTCTTGGCACAACTCCCCTTCCCACGGCGGTGAGGAAGGGAAAGGAAGGATAAGGAGCTGCTTTAAATGAGTCACTGAAAGACACTCCCGGGCTCTCGGCGAGTCTGGAGGTGTGAGCGTGCGGATGGGATGAGCAAGCTGAGGTCTGTGTGTGAGACGGCGCGTCTCCCGGCCCCCGGCATCGCTTGACGTCAGAAAGTCCCGGGTTGTCGTCTTGCCTTATTTAAGGACTGAGAAACAATGTCCTGAGTGCCTCTGAGTGTCAGTTTCCTCATTTAGAAATAATAGTTATGAACTATTGGAATAGTGGAACGAGGAAGTGAAAGGGATGCCCTTCTAGTGCTTGCTCAGGGGAACAATTGGCAGCTAATATGATGAAGATGATTAGTAATACTTTCTCCCTCTAACGGATTGATGACTATGTGTATAGTTGGGTCAAAAGGTGTCTGTCACTACCTCCTCAGTTTTGACCCGGGAGAGCGATACAGAAGAGAAGAACACAGTCCAAACTCCCTGCCTTGCAGGCACCAGGGAGCCCAGGGCTGTCCCAGAATCGAGGCTGAAACTCTTTCAATTCCCGGGTGAGGTCAACATCGACACGTACGTGTGGAGTCCTGCTCCCGCCTTACAGAGGCCACGGTGGCATCAGGTAGCTTGCCGTCAGCTGGATGCACAAGGGTCAGTTACTCAGCTCTCAACCTTCATTTCAGGTCATCTGGGCAGGTCTGAGGTTTGGTCTCAGGGCTTTGCAAGAGGGCGCTGTACCCAGGAAGCCTGGCTTGCATCCAAGGTCAACATATTCTTTAACGTCCTTGGGGACGAGGTTGGAGGGGAGGCCTCTTGCCGGGCTGCCTTTTTAAGCTGTGACATTGACTGACGCACAGCTTACATTTCTGTTCTCCTTCTTTAAACAAAGTTGAAAATAATCTTCGATAATCTTTGATTCCTCCAAGATTCTGACCAGAGTCAGAGCCTAAAGAGACCTGAGAGACAGATGTGACGAACAGATGTGATGTCCCTCTCCTGTCACCTTAGATTATGGCACTGGGAAATGTCCTCCTGCACCATCAGGGGTCCGCGTGCCCTGGAATAATATTATTTCACCCCAGACAGCCTTCAAGACATTGTACGTGTCCCGTGATATTTCCGGTGAGCGGACTGCCATGCTACTCAGTAATAATATTGAATTAAGACACTGTCAAGTTGTAATTAATTTCCTCTCCTTTTTATATCTACATTTCAGAAGACTCCTCTAAAGAATGGAAATGATGGGAAAATCTTTTCAAGATTTTAAAGAAACATAATACGATTTGGTTTCGTATTGGGGGAGAAGGTGCTTTCATTTCATTTTTTAATATCTGTCCCATCTGTTTTCCTGGTTCTCTCGTTCCAGAGTGAACCCGCTGTAAGAGAAGCAGGTGGTCAGAGGCAGGTGGTGGGGACCTGCTAGGGGCTGGGAGCCAGGCAGGTGGGTCAGACGCGAGGCCTCTCTGCCCACCAGCTGTGCGGTGGCCTTGGAACAGGTACCCGACCTCCCTCTGCCTCGGGGTTCTCATTGCAGAACAAGAGCCCCCCAGCCTCCCTGAGGCAGTGGCGAGGATGCAAGGAGGTGATGCCTGCGCCGTGTTGGGAGCTGTGCTGTGAGTACTGCTGCTGTTCTTGTGCCAACTCTCACACCCTCAGCACGACCGGGGGCTGTCCGAACGAGGTGACCCTGTGACATCTTCACACGCCTCCTCCGGGTTCGCTGTGGCTGGAGAATCTACCAAGTCGTGTGGAATGTGAGACAGTGCAACCCCCGGCGGAGGCAGAATCAGTGGGTGGCTTAGGTCGCTGGGATCCATTCCAGACAGAGACTGGCATTTGCTGCTTCAGCGCCCATCGCTGGAAGATGCTCGGAGTCGGTGCCATCCAACACACGCTGCCAGTGGTGAGGAACGCTCCTCTCCCAACAGCTACTGTGATGTGGCCAAGAGGACTGTTGGAATGAGCTTCTCCATGGAGCCCGCTAAGCAACATGAATTAACAACCTCAGCTTTCAGCTTGGAAGGAAGCACTGGTCCTTGCACTAATCAACTTGCATCCGAGAGCTCACTTACCGTGTGCAACAGCGATGTCGGCTACAGGCTCGGTTCTACCCACAAGAGAGCTGAGCCTGAAGAGGTGGGCGCAATGGTCCCTGCGGTGCGGGGACAGGCAGCAGATCACAGCGAGGCTCCCTGCCCCCACTGGGTGTCCTGCTGCATCTTAAGGACTGATTGGTTGAGTGGCTGCTTAAATCATTATTTTAAATGAAAGATTTGGATGAGGACTGTTTGGATGTGGGAACAATGAACCTGAAAGGCATCAAGGTCCTGGTAGGGGCAGAAATAGAATGTTGGGGACCAGCTAGAATTGCAAGAAATATCAGTCCTGCTCTGTTAACTGGGATTGCTTTGTTCTAATTAAAGAAGGCACATTCTAACCTGGCTGGGAGGTGCAGGTGGGACCTGGGAGCTCACCTGGAAATGCAGCCCGTCCTCCCCCTCAGGGAGCTGCCTATGGCCGCGGGAAGATTAACAACCTGTTAAAGAAACCAGAGCCGCCAGCCCTTTGAAGACCCCCAGCCCTTGCATATCACTAAGCCCTTTGGAGGCCCCCAGCCCTTTGCACATCACTAGCCCTTTGAAGACCCCCAGCCTTTGTGTACCGACAGGTCTTTGCAAATCTCCAGTCTGCATTACCTGTAAACTGCCCATTTGGCCTACTCTTTGCCTACTTCCCCATGTAATCTCTGTCCTTCTACCCAATATAAGCAGCTGGCTTTTGGTGGGGTGGAGAGAGCTGATTTTTGTGGATGACTGACTGCCCTCCCATGCTGCCGGCAGGATGGGAATAAACACTCATATATGATCCAACCCTGTCTCTGCTGAATTGGCTCCAGTAGTGACAAGCAGCCCGGACCCACTGATTGTCTGGTTACAGTCCTTTGCTTTGATGAGGCTCCCACTGGCTCCAGGACCTGACGTGGCCAAGTGGATGTGGGACCCCGGTCACCCCGCCGTACCTCCAAAGTGTGGTGGTGGCCCGCAGAGGAGCACCACGCCTTGACCTTCTCGGACGGACACCGCGCTTCTCGTTTTGGTCTCAAAGTCTTCGATATCTTGGAAAAGAAAGAAGAAAAGGTTTAGAATTAGTTATTTTGCAGAAAGAAAAAAAAACATTATAAGGAAGAATCTTAAACTATTTTTATCATTAACATAACTAATGAACGCTCCTCGTTGACGGACCAGAAGAGCAATTTAAATACTCTGATTAAAGAGTCAGTAAGAAACACATGGCTTGACATCACTCACTATCTGTTTACTCCGTTCTCCCCGGCAGCCGGGAGTCCAGCGGGAAAGGAGGTGAGATTTGGGAGGAAGAACAGGGGTTTGGAGGGTGAGGGTGCTCTACACGATCAAGGGAAGGACATGATGATTCAGGACCAGACTCTGGGGACGACCTTGAAAATCCAGGAAAGTGGTGAGCAGTGCCCCTGGGAAGGGCTGCCTTATAAGGAAGAAGAAACCCAGACAAAAGCTGTCCCTGCTGATACAAGATGGACCACAGAGGCGTGTGCTGGACAGACATCATTTTTGGCGGTAGTTTTTGGCAATAGTTTCAGATTTCTAGTGAAACCCACAGGAGAGTGTTGCGTGGGTCATTTGAGCAGACAGGAGGTGCAATAAGCAGACCTGCTTAGCAGAGCTGTTATGGGGATTAAAATGTTTAATCCCCATAATCAGCAGAGAATAAAGTCAGTACTCGATACCTCGATACGCGATAGCAACTTTGATTATGACGTGCCCAGTCATGAGGGCACGCCATTATATTTCTCTCTCACTGATGCGAACCTCAGATGCACAAATCCACAGATACAAGTTAAATAGCACACTTCAGTTCGAATAAACCATTTTGTAGGTGAGTGATTCCATTTGAAGCACCCACACTGTTTGTCTCTCTTAAAAATATTATTTCCCAAGTGAGTTTCTTTCTGTACACTTTGCTTTCTATTCATGAAAAGTAAAAGAGTTGGTCTGGCCAATGTGGTTCAGTGGTTGAGCATCCACCCATAAACCAGGAGGTCACCATTCGATTCCAGGTCAGGGCACATGCCCGGGTTGCAGGCTCGATCCCTAGTAGGGGCGTGCAGGAGGCAGCCAATCCATGATTCTCTCTCATCATTAATGTTTCTATCTTCCTCTCCCTCTCCCTTCTTCTCTGAAATAAATAAGAATGTATTTTAAAAACTAAGAGTTTGGTGAAATAGATGCAATAGTTCTGATTTTGTGAATGTAATAACTCTTACATATACTCTACTTTTAATAATAAACATACTTGACCAAGATAGACTCCATTCTCTTCACCTACGCTCCCCTCACTCCCCACCTGCTCTTCACCAGCTGCCACTTGGGTTACCCTAACTTAGGACCAGGCTTGCCTTGTGTGTTTCTTACAGAGGATTTCTAATCAAATACCCACTTTCTCCTTGGCCAGAGGGATGCTAAGTAAGCCCACCTCTACGGGCACTGTGGCTGCAACTGCTGCCTTGACCTTTGAGTCCTTTGTGACTTGCTCCATCCCTTCAAACGTCACTCAGTAAGAACCAGGCAAACAGACTGTGTTTAAAATAAAAAAGCCAAAACATTGAACTATTGTTTCTACGTCTAGTAGTGATAACAGGGAAGAATATTAAGGTTTTCTTTCTTACTCTTGTCACGGAAAGGCTCCATGAAATTGTCATTACTTTGTAGTGGCCACAAAACCAAACACTGTCACCAAGGAGCTATGAGGAATCAGATGATTCTATGAAATGAAGAAGCTGTGGAGGGAACTGCTCTCTGACAGTGGTCCCCGCTTCCTGTCACATCAGCCATGCTCCCTGCTCGTCGGAAGCCAGGAGTTTCGATGGCACCACGGATGCCAGCAGGCATTGTGCCCACTTCCACGTGAACAGCACCCGCCCGCGCCCTCACTTCTCCATGCCGTTTAGGGTTGCCGTGGGGTTTCTATTCGCTACAGAAAAGGAAATCTGCTTCTCTCCAAAGTCAGTCAGTCCTGTGAGCTGTCAAACAGTCATTGGAAATGGGGCTAGTTTGCAGGTTTTAGTTAATAATTCAGATTTCAAAGCTGTGTAATGGCTCACAGAACAGAGACAAGACATAATTCCACCTTGCTTCCAGGAGGGGCCATTTCCTGTGAACATGCTGGGAACAAGATCTATTTTAAGTGTCCGACCCAATTTTCAGCTTCCCCCCTGCTAGTAGGAAACATGGTGTAATTCAGACCATTCTGAGGCGAGGGCCACCGAGTTAGCAGCCGCTGGGGCATCCAATGAAATTTCCTTTGCGCTGTAAAATCATTAAGGACTCTAGATTATACTGATATAACAGAGGAAGGGAGAGGGAGAGAGAGATAGAAACATCCATGATGAGAGAGACTCATGGATCGGCTGCCTCCTGCATGCCTCCCCCTGGGGATCGAGCCCACAACCCAGGCATGAGCCCTGACCGGGAATCGAACCATGACCTCCTGGTTCATAGTGCTCACCCACTGAGCCACGCCGGCTGGCCTAAGGACACTAGATTTGTTTTTCTACAGGAGAGGCCAGAGGGAAGAACCAGCTTCTATTTTTGTTCTGTCCTTTTTTGCTAAGAGAATACAGCTTAGGGCAGTGATGGCGAACCTTTTGAGCTGGGCGTGTCAGCATTTTGAAAAACCCTAACTTAACTCTGGTGCCGTGTCACATATAGAAATTTTTTGATATTTGCAACCATAGTAAAACAAAGACTTATTTTTTTGATATTTATTTTATATATTTAAATGCCATTTAACAAAGAAAAATCAACCAAAAAAATGAGTTCGCGTGTCACCTCTGACATGCGTGTCATAGGTTCACCATCACTGGCCTAGGGTGAGCTCGTGGCCGGAGATGGTCTCAAACTCTCCAATATGTGGGAAGACTCCCATCACCCCCAGGTGACCTGCAGGCTGTCCTTGTGCTCGGGTGCAGGTCCTGCAGTGCTGGTGGCTGTCGGAGTCCCCGATGGCCCAGGGGCCCTTGTCCAGCCACCCTGATCACCAGGGCTTAGGGAACCCTGTGGCTTTATCTCTGGTTTTGGAGGAAGCCTTTGGAGGAAGCCTTTGGCAGGAGCAGAAGCAAAAGTGCAGTCGCAAACAAGGCTCCTCTCCAAAGACCGGCAGGAAATGCCTGATGAGGGCCCATAAAGCGAGCCTTCCAGCATCACTGGGCCATATGCTCTCTCCTGGCGCCACTGAGGTGCAGGGGAGGGACAGAGGCCGCGGAAATGGCCTTAACATGAAGTCCAAGCGCCGCTGCGGATTGCGATGGCCAATCGTCAGGCGAAACCATTTCCACAGCCGCCACGTGTGGGAATGAATCTCAGCATCATCCGAGGAGGAAAACAGTGTTTGCCGCCAAAGCCTGAGGACCACATTGGAGGACGTGCTCCCAGCGCCAGCCTGACGCAGAAGGAGGCACCGATGGCCAGCTCTCCCGGGGAAGCTGGGAGGAAGGCTCTGGGGACCCGGTCCACAGACCGAACCAAGAGGGCGGCCGGAGGACACGGGACTCCTGAGCTGTGCAGAATCTGCATCCTATTCATCGGCCCTGCCTCTACTTGCAGGTTTGAATTACTTTATTTCTGTTTTAAATCTTTTCTTAATAGATTGAGAAAAACTACTCTGTGCCAGACGCTCATGAGGAGTCCCTTTCATCCTCAGGGCGACGCCGGGACACAGGTGCCACATCACATCCGTCCAGCTGAGGCGGAGACTGCGGTTCCCGAGGACCAGCAGCTGCTGGAGGACATCGCTCCAGGTCAGGACAGGCGGAGTGGAAGGACGCAGTCTGGTTCGGAGCTCTCAGCCAGTCCAGCTGCTACCCGGGCCCTCCTGGCCCCGCACCACAGAAAATTGGCACCAACTGTCACTCAATGTTCAAACGAACAAACAAATGCAAAAATTCAGTGCCTTTTCAGAGTTCCCTGAGCTGGGGAAGACTGTAATTTTAGGTTTTAGAAATAGCTCTGTTTCTGATCGCCTCATTCCCCCAAATCCTTGGTTTTTCCTCTCCAGGTGTATTTCTCAGTTTATCCTGCAACCTGGCATCTGTGTGGACAAGGTACTCAGTCTCTCAAGTTTGAAAAAATATTTTTATTTTTATTGATTTCAGAGAGGAAGGAAGAGGGGGCCAGAGATAGAAACATCAATGAGGGGAGAGAACCATTGATTGGCTGCCTCCTGCACGCCCCCCACTGGGGAATGAGCCAGCAACCCAAGTAACCCAGGAATGGAACTGTGACCTCCGGGCGCATAAGTCAATGCTCAACCACTGGGCCTCAGTCTCTCATCTTGACCAACCTACAGAGACCGCCCCCCCCCCCCCATACATACACAAGCACACACATGTACACGCGCACACACACGCACGCACACACATGCTGTAACTGTGCTTGTGCCTCTATCAGTCTTACCGATTCAGTGAGGTGCTGCCTGAACACTTTAAACCCAATAAGAGATATGCAGGGCTGCCGCACTCCAGCCCCTCCCCTGTCATTCAGGTCTGAGAACCTCCCCCGCCCCCGTCTTCTACATCCCTCTTTTAGGAGCAGGGAAAGCAAAATGCCCCCATGTTCCTCTTCAAAGAGGCCCTCTGCTGCCAGCTCTGGTTGCTGCCCTCGGAAATGGGTGGCTGTGCCCCAGTTCCCACAGCTCCTAAGTACAGGAAACAGACTTTAATTCAGAATGCTGTGGCTCTTGGGGACATTTGCTGAGCCACCAGGCTAGACAAGAGGCTCTTAACCAGAGCTTCACCCAAGACACTCACCCTGGGAGCTGCCCCCAATCAGAGGCGGTGCGCAGTTTCTCTCTCTCTCTGCACCTCGGAAGCAATTTCAGTTCTCTGTGACTTTGAGGGCGTGGAGTCTCATTTTCAGCTCTAAGATTCTTCAGCCCTCCTTCTGGCTTCCCACCCGCAGGATACCATGTGACCTTCCCGGGTCTTTCTGAAGAAGGCTCAGCGTCCGAAGCTGGGCTGAGTCCCCAGGACAGAGGAACCCCCGTCACCTTCAGCACGCAGGTCCCATGCAGAGCTATGGC